TTCATCTCTTTCCCTTGGCTTCTTCTCTCGCTCTCTCGAGCTTCTTCTGGGTTTGTAGATTTTCGTTGTCATTCTTCGAATTTGTAAGGGATTTCTGAATCTTGCTCTATTTCAGCTTCGATTCGTTGCGCGGAAGAGTGAGGAAGTGAGGGAGGCGCATGATATTGGTGAACTGATGGAGATTGAGGATGAGGTTAACTTTGCGATTGGTAGGATAAGAAAAGGAAATCAGATTAGGACTAGAAGGGCAAGCTTGGTTTCTCTACCAGAGATTTGCACATCTCAACATCAGCGTCGCCCTTTCAGAGCTCAGGGGTAAGATATCTCTTGTTCTGATATTTCATCATTCTTTCTAGGGTTCTTAGATTAAGCTTCTGAATTTTCTTAAATTGGTTTGGTTTTGATGTTAAACATTGTCTTCTGTGACAATTCGGCATTATAGTTCTTTGATTATTTAGCTAGCATATTGACCATAAGAAGAATAAGGCATGAGTGGAGGAGGAAGATGAAGAATAGGTTTGCAAAGAGGAGAAATCCTCAGCGCCTTCCTCATGATTCGATCTTTATTTCTTTTGTTCCTTAGGTTTGTGTTGCAGATCTATCTTCTTCTTTGCTTTTTGTTAGTTTATTCCTCTTGGATAACGATGATGTTTTGCTTGTTGTTTCCTTCAAAGTAATCGTCTTTTGTTGTTTGTGTTGATGCAGCTGCTTAGCAGTTCAATTGACAGGAAGAAGCATGGTTTTGGATTCGTATGTGACTATGTCATTAGTTTTTGAAGTTGATTCAGCTGCTCAACAGTTCAATGGCTATGTAAGATGATACTTACTCAACTTAATGTATCATTGGTTGGTGATATGAGTTCTATGAGAAAACTATGTATCTTTTCTTGTTGGTATGCGTTTTTGTGTTGGTTTTTGATTTGTGAATTAGTGTATTTATATTCATTTCCAGATGAGAAATCAGGTCTGATCTTACACCTTCTTTAGCTTCATGTTGCAATTTTGTTCTTAGTGGCAATAGAATGATTAGCAAAATTTTCTACCGGTTTATAGGAGGGTATTGCTGCTCTTAACCTCTATGTAAGGGACGACTATGTCCGTGCAGCTCCTGGTGGAGCTAGAGGTGTCAAAAGCATCACAAATTATTCTCCGGTAAGTATTGAAACTTTGAAACCAACTTAGATTCACATATGAGAGGCAACAAGTTTTGATAACCATCTTGATTGTTCGTTTGTTTTGAGCTGTTCAGGTTAACAGTGTGAGGCTACCATACCACATAGGAGATAAACGACAGCTTGCTCTGAAAGTTTAGGCCATTTTGTATTCTAAGATTTCTGCTTATACATGATAAGGAAAACTTTAGCAATGTGATTACCTTCCTTTCTTATAAGCATCATTCACTTCAAATTTGTATGTTAAGGATAATATTTATTTGCATACTTAATCTCACCATAAAACCAAAACCCATGTTAATTCTTATAAGCATCATTTACTTGAAGTCTAATGCTTCATCTATTACAGGTGAAGTGTTGGGAAATATCCTGTAGTAGAAACTCTATAGCCAGTGCTCCAAAAGCATCAATTTTGCGTGATGTATGTTGCTGATCCATGACACGGACGCTGATGAAGGAACGGACGAGATCAATTTTGGACTCTTGTGATATGTATATGGATATTTGTCACTAAAATG